ATAACTCATTAAATGGTTCGTGAAAAAAATATCTTTTCCAGCGGATATCTTAGTTACAACATGATTGAGCTAGCAAAGCAGTTTTGTGTTGCTATGTGTGGTATTTATTCAGTTTTGGGAAATCACGATGTCTAGAAAGCATCAGTGGCTGCAGCTGACAGGGACAGCTAACAGCAGCAGCAAAGCTAACATCAGGACGTCATCTCTTAAAAGCTTCCCGTTGTCGGATACGACCTAAAACTACTCCAGTTAGCTCAATCATGTTGTAACTAAGACATCTGCTGGAAAAAAATATTTTCTTTACGGATGAGCACAATTTTGATTAAACGGAGTTAAATCTCTCGGCATCCATTTTCAAGCTCTCTGTGTGTTTGTTTCCTTGCGGATGAGAAAAAGGGGAGCGCACATTTCCGAGAAGGCGTGTCCTTTTCAAAAATGCAAGAGGCGTTGCTTTGTTGCTGGCCGTTTTCGCCGGTGTGTTAAACACAATTTAGAAAGGAGTGTCCCCAGACTATCAGAAGGCGGAGATCTCTGATTGTCTGGTGGCGAGACTAAACTCTTAGTACCATATTCAGTTTTTATCATTATGAAGTATGCAGTTTTGGAGTTGGTTAGTCTCTATATACATTCAGTGAATGTAGAGTCTGTAGGCAAACCCCGGAGATCTTGCCTCCGGAAGAGGAGCGGAAGAGCCCTGGTTTCCGGTTGTAGGCTGTTTGTAGTCCGCGTGATATTGACCAATCACGTTAGAGCCGGCTACAGTTGTTGCCAGGTTAAACGGTCCGTGCGGTGAACTGGCGTCACTGCGAACTCTGAATCCATCGCAATGGTTCAGCATATTTACTTATATATAAATGGAAGTCGGAAACGGAAATTCGCCTCCTTTGCTCAGATCAAACCGGAATGCCAAAAAATCGGGGGTCTGCCCCCAGAGGCTGTAATACAGCCGATGGGTTCCGAGAATGGGTGTTGGTCAATGTATCGTCAGCCCTTTGTCCTTTGTTAGTAATAGTTTTAGTCCTCAGTGGTGACACAGATGCCTGTTGTATTGCGACCAGTTAGTCACTAGATGACTGTCTAAATAATAAACACCAATTAAATATCATTTCCCCTTTTCCCTTAAAAAAAGAATGTTTTATGTCGTAAAAGTAAACTTACGTGTGTTGTTAAACCTGTCTGTACAGGTTCCACCTTGTGTTTTTATGTTTCGTCAGCTTTTAATTTTGATCCTGAAGTAATCATGTTTATACAGTTAAAATGACTGATTTGAAACATGAAGATTAGTTTACCACTCCTCTTCCTCCTTATCCTGTGAAAACAGCTGTTGTACTAATCATGTCACATAGATGTGATAGTGATGTCATCAGCCTTGGACACTGCAGATGTGTCACAGGGTGTCTGGCTTACACACTGAGGGTGTGCAGTCAGAAAGATGTGGCCATTTACCAGACAAGAAAGCTCTAGTGAAAGACACCATGTCCAAGTGCATTGTGGTAAATGTCGGATCCAGTGTATTTAGACCAAAGTCTTTTTTTAAACTTTAGAAATAAGCTTCATCATTCTGATTTGTCAGTTATGTCTTTGCTGTTAGTTGTTTTTTTGTTTTTAAACAGATTGAACTACTTAATAACAATATTGATCAGGAAGCCAAATGTGTCGGTGTTTTTTCAGACAGACAGATAGACAGACAGCCAGCATCTTTAATGATTTGTCCTTCTTGTTTATTTCTTTTCAGGTCTGACAGGAAGTCTGTTGATGCTCTGCTGACAGAAGTAGAGGAAGAGAAAATCCTCCATCCCTATCGTTCCTGCTGACAGACAGCAAAGACTTTCTCTGACAGGAAGTCTTCTAACCATCCCACAAACTAATTCCCGTTGGCAGGAAAGAAGAAGAAAGAGGAGAAGAAGAAGAAGAAGAAGAGTTCCTGCCTTTAGTTTAATCTTCATATATTTTTAATTTATGACGACAGATTTCACTTCTGCCAGAAACTGTTTGTCGTTGTCAGTATCAGATAGATTGGTGTGTTTGTTCTGTGACACCCTCAGCAGGCTCGAGAACATACTAGAGGTTCCCCTGGCGGCCATGCTGGGGCCTCATCTGCTGTCTGCCTCCTTAGCCGCCACGCCTCCATCTTAAATCAATAGCTCAGAGCAGACCTGAAACATTTTTTTTTTAACATAAGGGCTTCTTGATTTATTTTTTCTACACGTGTTTTTGTGCTCAGAAGTAGTTGGTGTTTGTTCGTATCAGGTCTCGTTTCGTCAGAATCCACTATCAGCCAATCATGGCGGAGTCCAGCTCGGTGCCGGCTGCAGCAGCAGATCTAGTGATTGAACAAAACAAAGACGAAGTGTCTCTTCCCGCAGAGAGCGTCTCCAAAGAACTGATTGTAACCATGACAACAGATGTATCAGATGTCAGAGCCGAGGCACTGAGCAGCAATGGTGTCGCTGACAGTCCTCTTCCTGCCAAAGCCCTCAAAGAAGAAGAGGAGGAGGAGGCCACACCCACACCACCGGATTCGTCGTCATTGTCGTCTGAAGATGGGACAATAACTGCCATTACCACCGAAGAAGAATCTCTGTCGGCTCTACTCAGACACATCAAGAGTGAAGGAGGTCAGGACAGAGGAGAGCCAGGTGAGAGGTCAGGTGAGGTCAGGAGTCAAACTAAAAGATTAAAGGAATACATCACTGCAAAATGACCATTTGTATATCAGTTATTCACCCCGTGTTACATTAAATACATGCAGAAGATGTTTTTTTTGCATGTCTCCATTGTGAGGGAAGAATCCAAAAACATTATAAGCATTATAATCCAAGTCTCATTTATCCAGTCGCATGCTCAGTACTTCACAAAGTGCCAGCCCGTTCGAACAGGGAACAGAACTTAAAGTAGCCCCTTTTACACTGCCAGATTTTCCACGAATGTTGGGCCGTTTTGCTGGCAAGCTGCGAGCGTTGATCCGAGCATTGATCCGAGGTGCCCAATTTTCCGCCTCGTAGGGTAGTCATATTGGCGGAACCCTTTTAGTTTAAATAGACCGAGGCAGCCTTCCGCAAAGGGAGGAGCTGTTGAAGACTTGTGGGAGGAGCTGTTGATGACGCCGCACGTGTGAGCCACTGGCGGTGGATAAACAGGAAACAGCTGATAGCAGGAATTAGCGAGCAGCTAGTAGCTAGAGGGAAACGCAAACCCGACAGATATTGTAAAGATGAGCAACTGGGGAGACAAGGAATAGCGCACCCTCCTTGCACTCGCAAACGAAGAGGCCATTAACCGTCAGAAGACGGGGACGATGAAGAACGGGCCGACTTAGGAGAGAATCGCCGAAGGACTGACCAGCCGCGGCTTCCCTCCCACATCACTGTTTACGTCACATGCTGAGCTACACGTTTTGTTACTTGCTCATGCTCCCCATTGCCCCGAAAAAGGTGCATTCTGTATAAACAGAAGTAGGTAGGAGGCATTTTGCTGCACTCCCCAATTTTGTTTTTATACTGCCAATGCTGACAAAAGACTGATTGGGCTTTCCTACAAATTTGCACATCTCCTATCTAAACAGGGGTAAGACTAGTGCTGCACGATTTGATAAAAATGTGCGATTGCGATTTGAGTGGACAATACCGCGATATGCGATTGCGATTACAATATAATACATAAATGGTATCATTAGTCTCTTTGCTTGATTCAGTGTTTCCCCTACATTATATTAGGGGGGCACTGACCTGACCTGACATAGTTATTGTTATGGACAGTGTGTAAATGACCATCAACAGACTGAACACAGTCAAACATGCTGCTGGCACAGCAGCACAGCACGGCACTGTACCTGCAGCGGAGCGAGCCTGTGTTACGTTCAGGTGTTGTCACGTAAATGACAAATTCCAGCACATGAACAGGCCACAGCACAACACAGCAGCATGTCAAGTGGGCTGAACCTGAGCAAAATTGCTCAATTTTTCATTTGTTATTATATAGTTTGTTATGGAGTGCATGATTTCCCCGTGACACTTACAAATGTATGCATAACTGTGCTTGGATGTTGTTTTATGAGGCTCTGGTGGCTTTCAGTTGTCCCTTTGTCTTTAACTTTACTTGGCTTGTCTTTCTCTCGCGTGCATTCTTCCTACTTTTCTCTGTGCTGTCTCAAGTGCTGATATAGATTGGTCGTGTTGCCGCAGGATGTGGCGACTTTAACTTTTAAACTTTTACACAGCACGTCTTTCTGTTAAACGTTGTCGTACCTGAATCCAAAGTAAAGCCATGTAATAGAAATTGCGTTTTTTTCGCCACCAACTCAGCCTGTTCTCGGTCGTGCTCATGCTCTTCTTCAGCGATTGTGATTAGATTAATCGTGCAGCACTAGCTAAGACTCCATTGATGAAAACACAAATTTTAGCTCGCTCAACACTTGAGCTGCTGGTTTACCGCTGCCTCAATCAGTATGTCTGTGTATTTTGTGTTATTGATTTAAAGGCTCAGTTCTAGGGGTGGTTGATATATCAGTTTTACTCAATGTAGCTTGGCTTGTTCCACATGAGATATATAAAGTGACTACATCGTGAACATTGAGTATAAATGTCATTTTTTAAGCCACTAGGCTAGCATGAGCCTTGCTTTGAAGTTTCAGTTCCGTCCTGCTCTTCCTCTCAAAGACACAAAAAGAAAAGGACTCACAAACATGATGCGCCACACGCACTTCACCACCCTTCCAGACCACTCTCCTGGGTGAAAGTGTGTGAGCAGGCAAGGTATGTGTTTTTGTATCTGCAGGGCTCTAGACTGCAACACATTAACTGAAAATTTTATTAATTATATAAATTTGAGACCTGTTAGTTTGTTACCAGCTTACAGTGAATAAATCCTCCATTTAACAGCACCGCTTTAACAGTTTAACGTTGTGCTAACTGCTCACATCTGACTATTAACTGGAAGCTTCAAGTTCAGAGCAAAAACACTTCCAGCTCCAGATGAGCGGAGTTCTTCAAAATTAAAGCACCAGTAGTTCCGCTTTGATTTATTTCATTATAACAATAATTTATTTGACTTTTTTAACAGTACTTTAACTTAATTATAACAGTACTTTACTCAACTTAATTATAACATTACTCAACTTTATTGTTACAGTACTTTATTTAATTTTATCATAGCAGCACCTTATTTAACTTTATTGTAGCACTACTTAATTGAATTTTATTGTAACACCACCTTATGTATCATCATTGTAACAATATTTTATTTAATTTTATTATAACAGCACCTTATTTAACTTTATTATAACAGTATATTACTCAACTGTATTATAACAATATTTTATTTAATTTTATTGTAACAGCACCTTATTTAACTTTATTATAACAGTACTTTACTCAACTTCATCATAACAGCACCTTATTTAACTTTATTGTAGCAGTACTTAATTTAAATTTATTATAACAGCACCCAGTAGTTTAGAGGAGATTTCAAAATATCAAGATAAATATGATGTATTGGAATGTGTATGTGGAAGTGTTAAAATATTGTGATATTATTTACCGGCTGTATAGCCCAGCCCTACTTAGTTGAGATTCACCAAAGTCACACAATTACACAAACAAACTAACTGAGGCAGCAGTAGACCAGCAGCTCCTGTGTTCAGCGAGCCAAAATTTATTTTCTTGTCAATTTATAATTCAGACACCAAATGTCGTATATTCTTATAAAGAAAGAAAAATGAAATGAGTTGATGTCCCACAGTATCTAATGTCAGAGGAGAATACTGTGTTAACTTGGATGTTAACTTTGTTTTGGGGTCTAAATATTGAGTTAGTCCTCTGCAGTCGACTCAGTGGTTTGAATGAAGAGGTTTAAAGTTTAGGGTTTAAAGTAAGAGGTTCAAGTTAATTCCAGCATGTTAGAGACATTATTGTGAGCTTGACAGTGAAAGAGGAACCTGTTCCTGTATAAATCTGCACACATTTTGATGCTAAGCTTCCAGATTTTTTTTCCAGTGGCTCCTGGTTTCTTCTGTTCTTAGCTGTTGCTCAGAGGGATCTCTGTCTCTTGTGGTTGTCAGTCTGATTGAATCACTGTATAGCGTTTTGTTCTCCATGTACAAAACAAACCCTTCGTACTAAACATCTATTTGTTAAAAGGACTTTCTACAACCGTAAAGCATCAAAGGCCATTCAGACATAGAGAGGAGTCCTCTGACACATATGACTGAGCCACATCACCACACATTGCCAGGCCGCCATTGTAAATAAGAATTTGTTCTTAATGACTTGCCTGGTTAAATAAAGGTTAAATAAAAAATAAAATCAAGCTCTGTGACAGCAGATTACTTTTCAACAGCAGTGTACATATTTGAAAATCCTGTTATTGTGAAGCTTAAGATCTTTATTGAGACACTTTGCTGTGTCACTGGTTTGTAGTAAAGTTCCAGCTGGTTAACATTCAGGAAGCGGAGCAGAGAAACAGGCAACCAGTCAGGAGACGCCTTCAGTCAGCCATTGTTGTTCTGGGATGTGATTGGCTGCCAGCCAGTGTGAAAAGAACAAAAAGATTATTATAGCTGCAGGCAGCGATTCTGGGGTTCAAGCCAGCATGGACTGGTTGCAAAGGATCAAGTCCTTTGACTGTTTATGACACCTACATCAAAGATAACTGACAGGTTTTATGACCATCAGACAGAAGCTTATACACTTGCAGGCAAAACACGCTCCTCTTAGGCAACATTGTCACCCCATTTTGTTCAATTGTGAAAACATTTGAGCACATGTCTCAACACCTAACTGAAAATATCCACTGAGTTTGGTGATGTTTTTATATGATGTCAGTGATTTATGGCCAGATTTTGTGCCCGGCCAATGCACATGTTTGGAACTGAGCACTGTCAATATAATTACGCTTACGTTGTTCATCATTGTAATGAAACATATTTCTGACTTATAGTTTGATTTGTGTTGTGCCACACCCATTTTTTTTTTGCATTTGTAGTGCTCTTGAGTGGTCAGTTTGAAATGAAAGTTTCAAAGGATGTTTCAGATATTTTTGTGGTCATATCCTGCAAGTTTCGTGATGACTGGCCCAATGGTTGCAGAGTTGTGCGTTAGCTCTATGCAGAGCCTACGCTACAGCCTACGCACGTGGCCTATGTGGTTGTGAGCATTTATACTTGTGTGGTGGTGGTGTCTGTGTCACTCTGCAGTTACACCTTCAAAACACTGGTCGGCAGCGGAGGTTTCTGTGAAGTGTTGTAAAGTTTAGTTGATTTAAAACACACCCAAAACACACATTAAATATAGCTTAATAGCAACTTCAAATGTAAGTACACAAATGGGCTTCACTATAACTCGCAGCATTCACAGATGAAGCACTTATCTTTTTGCTGGACACATTTACAACGTGCTGATGATATTAGCATGAGCCTATGGCCTTTTACATTGTATAAATTAGCCTAGCAGCTTGTGGACGCATATAAAGCCAGGGACAACTATTATTATTATTATTATTATTGTTATTATTATTATTATTATTATTATTCTATTAAAGTTTTTGCTGTTATTAGGTGTCCTCAGGACTCTGCGGTCTCTGGTGTGTTGTGTGTCTGCAGGTGTGGATCCGGACCTCGAGGAGAGCTCCTCTGTGGCGACAGCGGGTGGCTCAGATGACCAGCGGGAGTCCACAGACTCTGCCTCCTTCTCCATCCCCAGCCTGGAGCTGTCAGATGGGGTCACAGCCACAGCAAACTCACTGGACGTGGAGGATGGCCTGTCCTCTTCCTACTCCGCTCTGGGGGTGGAGGGCTGCTCTCCGTCCACCGAGGTCCCCAGTCTGAAGGAAGAGGAGATGCTGGAGGCCGCTGGTGAGACGTCCTCTGATTGTTTATTGTGTGTCTTTGAGTTCAGGTTCAAAATCTTCACTCACCACACTGTTTAACAGTCCTGATAAATGCTTTGCAAAACATTTTAAAGGTTCAAAGGTGAGGATGTTTTTTTATTTCCCAACTAGAGTCCTGCTAACGTCACACATTATTTATCTTTAAATGCAGACTGAACCCTTGATGTGTGCTATAACTAACCTCTGAGCTGCTGCGGAGCAGTTTGGGGTCATAAATGGTGATAAATGAATGATGAAGCTAAATGTAAAACAAAGCAGTGATACGAGCACACTACTGTGATACCTTCACTTGTTATTTAAATCTTCTGACTGCAGGGTTTGCTTTTCTAAACAAAAACTATTTTCTATTTGTTATTTTTAAAGATAGGACAGTTAACAAATTTTATTAAATTTTTTCAGTGAGATGAGCAATGATTGATATTTTGCAAATGGGCTTGTTTATATTTGTTGGACTTTAAAGACATTAATGAGGCTTTTCTAAACAGAATCCCTGAGTTTAAATGTGTGATTTTGCCTATGCTTATAGTTGGCATAAATGAAACAATCAGCCAGTTAATCAATGAGTTGATGGAATGATGATCAAATGGGTTTTTACAGCAACTAGTTTCTGGTTCTATTTTCTGTTTTGGTCTTTTATAAATGCCAGTAAACAGAATATTTTTGGGTTTTGGGATAGGGATGCACCAGTACCACTTTTTTTCAGTACAAGTACCTACATTTGGGTACTTGCTGATGCCAAGTACCAATACCAGTGTTTTTTTTTCTTTAGATGTTCTTCAGTTCCTGACTGTAACAATTTGTGGTTAATGACATTTTAACTTTCAACCGTATGTTTTTCTTAACAAACATGGCCTTGCCACACACCTTACTTAAATGTAACAAATTCAGTGGATTTCAGTACCAACACACAACTGTTGCAGAACAACTGAAATAATATATTATAATGCCATCACAAACTGCTGTTTATGAGTAAATCAAAGTCTATTTGAAAAAAACTGAAAGGCAGGGAATTTTCGATGAAAAGAGGCGTCCCTGCATTATCAGCTGTGAGCCTGTTTTGGTTTTCATTTACAATATGTGACACTGAGCTACACACAGCCTATCCCTGTCCACACTGCTGCATGGTGCTGAAAGGTATCTCTGTGTCATTTGAGCTAGAGTGGGAAACTGCACTTTGTTAACCCCCCAGTATTGCAGCGGGTTGTCTTCCTGAGCAGTTGTGGTCTCTCCTAATGCAAATAGCTAATCAGCCAATCCCATGGCAGCAGCTCAATGCATTTAGACATGTAGACATGGTGAAGACAACCTGTTGAAGTTCAAAGCAAGCATCAGAATGGGGAAGAAAGGTCTCAGAAAAACAATATGCTTCTGGTATGGCGCTGAGGCAGGCGGCTTTGTGAAAGAACCTAACTGGTAGATTGTAACCCCCTTTGAAGAGCAATCGTAAGACAAGGAAACTAGACTGAAAAGCAACATGGTCAGGGAAAAGCTAATAAAAATCAGAATTAAGTCAGGCCCTGGGCCAGACGGAGGAGAAACAACAGAGTAATGGCCTCTTCGTTTGCAAGTGCAAGTAGGGTGCGCTATTCCTTGTTTCCCCAGTTGCTCATCTTTACAGTGTCTGTCAGGTTTGCGTTTCCCTCTAGCTACTAGCTGCTTGCAAATTCCTGCTATCAGCTGTTTCCTGTTTATCCACCTCCAGTGGCTCGCACGTGCGGCGTCACCAACTCCTCGCACAAGTCTTCAACAGCCCCTCCCGTTGTGGAAGGTCGCCTCGGTCTGTTTAAACTTAAAGGGTTCCGCCAATATGACTACCCTCCGAGGCGGAAAATTGGGCGAAATTGTGTGTATAAACGCTCGCAGCTGGCCGGCAAAACGGCCCAACATTCGCAGAAAATCTGGCTGTGTAAAAGGGGCTATTGTTCTCATAACTTTCTTATCTTAATGTGTACCCTCCTCCTGTGAGCAATAAATCATTCTTTGAGAAATTATTTGATTTAATAGCCACTGAATCATATGGAACCCTAATATGTGGTGGAGATCTAAATGTCCAACTTCAACCTAGACTAGATACACTGCCTGGCCAAAAAAAAAGTCACCACCAAAAAAAAGGTCATACACTCTAATATTTCGTTGGACCGCCTTTAGCTTTGATTACAGCACACATTCGCTGTGGCATTGTTTCGATAAGCTTCTGCAATGTCACAAGATTTATTTCCATCCAGTGTTGCATTAATTTTTCACCAAAATCTTGCATTGATGATGGTAGAGTCTGACCGCTGCGCAAAGCCTTCTCCAGCACATCCCAAAGATTCTCAATGGGGTTAAGGTCTGGACTCTGTGGTGGCCAATCCATGTGTGAAAATGATGTCTCATGCTCCCTGAACCAGTCTTTCACAATTTGAGCCCGATGAATCCTGGCATTGTCATCTTGGAATATGCCCGTGCCATCAGGGAAGAAAAAATCCATTGATGGAATAACCTGGTCATTCAGTATATTCAGGTAGTCAGCTGACCTCATTCTTTGAGCACATACTGTTGCTGAACCTAGACCTGACCAACTGCAGCAACCCCAGATCATAACACTGCCCCCACAGGCTTGTACAGTAGGCACTAGGCATGATGAGTGCATCACTTCATCTGCCTCTCTTCTTACCCTGCTGCGCCCATCACTCTGGAACAGGGTAAATCTGGACTCATCAGACCACATGACCTTCTTCCATTGCTCCAGAGTCCAATCTTTATGCTCCCTAGCAAACTGAAGCCTTTTTTTCCAGTTAGCCTCACTGATTAGTGGTTTTCTTAAGGCTACACAGCTGTTCAGTCCCAATCCCTTGAGTTCCCTTCGAATTGTGTGTGTGGAAATGCTCTTACTTTCACTATTAAACATAGCCCTGAGTTCTACTGTTGTTTTTCTTCGATTTGATCTCACCAAACGTTTAAGTGATCGCCGATCACGATCATTGAGGATTTTTTTCTGGCCACATTTCTTCCTTGAAGACGATGGGTCCCCACTATCCTTCCAGTTTTTAATAATGCGTTGGACAGTTCTTAACCCAATTTTAGTAGTTTCTGCAATCTCCTTAGATGTTTTCTCTGCTTGATGCATGCCAATGATTTGACCCTTCTCAAACAGACTAACATCTTTTCCACGACCACGGGATGTGTCTTTCGACATGGTTGTTTAGGAAATGAGAAGCAACTCATTGCACCAGTTGGGGTTAAATAACTTGTTGCCAGCTGAAAGATAATCGCCCATGCAGTAATTATCCAATAGGAGGCTTGTACCTATTTGCTTAGTTAAATCCAGGTGGCGACTTTTTTTTTGGCCAGGCAGTGTATGAGTAATGCCTGGTTCACACTACAAGACATTTCTGTCTGTTATGACAGTCACTATGTCACATTAGGAGATTGTGGAGTCATGAAATCGTGCCATGACTTGGCGGACAGACATGACGCACTACACAGTGATCCACACCAATTATCCCCGGTCGTCTTTCACGACGTGCGTGATGTCATTGGGTTATTCTTGTCCTGTTTTTATTACTTTTACTATTATTTCAGTCACTGTGTCTCTTCATGAGCCAGCTGAAATGCTGTTGTAGTATTAATTAAAAACGTGCCACCAGATGGCAGGAGCAACGTTTGAAGTACCGCATGCAAACATGCAAGTCACTGTATCCTCCACAAGTTCCTGCAAATGTTTCACAATTAAAGCCTCTTCAGAAAATTAAGGGATTCTCTCAACCAAAGTTATAATGGGCTTTTGATTTGAAACAGATACAGGAAGTGTTGAGTTTAAAAATGACGGCGAGATGCATTCATTTTATCGAGGCAAACAGGAGCAGATAAAAAGAAAAAATATAAAAATACAGAGGGAAAAAAATATCGGCCTGTTTATAATGTAGTCTGTTTCAAATGAAGCTGGTAGCCTCTACAGTTGTGGTAAGTAAAAGCCCCACCACTATTTTTTAATAGCTTGATGCTAATGGCAGTACTCACCGGATTGCTAAAGTGCCTCTGCTGTTTCACGCCATCATTTTTCCCCTTTTTTTCTCTGTTGTGGTAACGTCCCCAGACTAAATATCAAAAAGCGTTTGGTGTTGTTGTCATACAGTTGTCTATGGCCACAGATTGCACTGTGTTCCTACTGGTCAAAGTGACGGCTGTGACGGGAGCAGGCGTGAACGACAAGAAAATCAAATGCAAGTAGATTTGCATTTCCCAATCACAAGCACCTTCAGTGAATACCTTGTGCGATAATCCATCGAGATGAAATGATGGATTATCGTGTACGACACTCATTGTCGTTCACAATCAATGCCGACACCGTATGTCGCTGCATTGGGCTATAATGGGGCTGATATCGTGTAGTGTGAACCAGCCATAATCTGCCCCAAAAGAAAAATTCAAATAACACCAAGGTCCAGCAGATGCTTTAAGAACTAGGGATGATTGATGTTTGGAGAGAGCATCATCCACTGGACAAATAATTTACTTATTATTCTTCATGTCATTTTTCATACTCAAGAATTGACTAATCTGACAGACATAGAATTAAAGAACGTAATATAGGGATTATGGATGTATCGGACCATTCAGGAGTGTACATAACTTTACCTGTAGCTAACCAGCAGAAAAATTCACTTTGGTGACTTAACACAGGTATTTTAAATGACAAAGCAGTACAGAAACAGACCCAGAAAGAATTTGAAATGTATCTCCAAGGTAATGATAATGGAGAAGTGTCCCCAAATACCCTATGGGATGCAGCAAAGGCTGTGACCTAAGGTAGAATAATTGCTGTCAACAACAAGACATGAAAGGGTTATATGATGAAAAAACAGGAAAAAAAATGAATTTTGCCAAACAAAGGTATTATGAGACAGGAGGTGAAGCAATTAAACTTCTGTATTGCAGAATAAGAAAACGACAGGAGAAGAATACAATTTATAAAATCAGGAA